GTACAAAGATTTGTGTAGATAAACCATTAACTTATCAAAAAATACTCGTTTCCACATGATTATACTATCTATGGACCCGTTAGGTTTATTTAGAAGGAAATAATAAAACCGTGGGCGTGCCACAAGGAAATCTCTGATATCAAATACCTAACTAAGTGCTTTGATGTAGCAGCTGATAATTGTTAATTCAATTCGATTAAATTGCACTTGCAATAAGTGCACAATGAGAGTATGAAGTATGACATGTTAGGTCCGTATAATGCTATGGAGGATACCCAGATAGAATTAAAAATAATTTAGTGTATATGATGAGAGAAAATCTATAACAAGACACTTCAAAATATGGTACCTAAATATTGAAATATTTTCCGGCAATTCGTATTATTGCAAAATACCGAATAATAAAAAAATATCCTGTGGACTTGTGGACCCTCGGGTTCAGTGACACAGGTGTTTCACTTCGCATGCGGTAGGGAGTCAGTTCCGCTCAGTGATCCATCCGGCCGGTAGAACTGAACAGCTTCCTACTCCAAACGAACATTTGTTTCGAGGACAGGAGTAGGATAAACCGGTCAGCTTTGTATGTTTTTTATTCAATGTTTAATTTTTTCAAAAGATCATATTTTTGAGGGCAAACCTACACACACATGCTTGAAAGATTATATTAAAAACTAAATATAAAAATTAAAAGATTATATTAATTAAAAGATTTTAGAAAGATATGAAAGTAACCTTAAAAGAAATTTTTAGAAATTGACGTATAAAAGTATATTTTTTATTTTTAGGCTAGTTTCTTGGTCGTAGGTTTCGAATAGATACTTACGTAATAGGTAATTGCACAATATTTTATTGTGGAATACTAATAATAAATACTCCATTTAATTGTAAACATTCAATAAAATTTGCAAACCAGTTGAAATATTATATATTTTTGTGCGAGCGAGTGACATGTTTTGGCGTCAGCCATGTGGTGAATTTGATAAATTAAATTAAATATTTATGGGTTAATAATGGTTTACTGACCGACCACGACCGCTCTAAACTATGAAACGAAAAATATTATCTATGCCTTTACAGCGAGCTAAAAGTTGTAAAAAAATATTGCACAATTTTAAACTCGTTCAAACTTTTGTTGAATCATTGCGCAATGTTTAATATTAACTACAATTAATGGTCAATACTATCGTAGAATTCTTAATATTGCACAATATGTATAAGGTATACCTAAAGTATTCTTATTTATAGAATATCGTACATAAAAGTACACTAGGTCAAAGTCAAAGCATTTATTTTACATAACATCACGTCTTTTATTCCCGAAGGGGTAGGCAGAGGTGCACATTATAACCACTGTACAATGTAACACCCACTTTTCACTATTTATGTTATGAGTCCCATGTAATAGGTAGTGAGCCTATTGCCATATACCGGGCACAATTCCAGACTCCGTGCTATTACTGAGAATTTTTCAAAAACCCAGTAGTATTTGGCCTGTCCCGGGAATCGAACCTGAGACCCCTTGCCCGGCAGTCGCAATTGCGACCACTCGGCCAACGAGGCAGTCATTTATTTTAATTAAACCATAATTGGGTACTTTTGGAAAGTTAACAAATACAAAATAAATGACTGACAGACTATTGTCAGTCTGTCCGTCACTGAAACTAGGTGCTCGTTCCAAAACGTAGATTCGAATGGAAAAGAACGAGCCAGAAACTCCATTCGTTACTCTTTAGGTAGTATGGAGAGTTGTAGAATACTTTTGAATGTAAATACAGCATTCGATATTTCTTTTAATGTTATTATCTATTATCTATCTATCTATATAAATAAAAATGAATTTCTGTTCGTTAGTCTCGCTAAAACTCGAGAATGGCTGAACCGATTTGGCCAATTTCGATCTTTAAATGTTCGCTGAAGTCCAGGGAAGGTTTAAAAGGTGATAAAAGTATTTATAGGCGGTACGAAGTTTGCCGGGTCAGCTAGTCTATCTATCTATCTATACATATAATAAAATTGTAGAAAAGTGCTGTCTGTACATTGAAAATAAAAATAAAAAAAATAGCAGGGGCTATTGTTATGTCGATGTCGAACCCAAAAATGTAACTAACTTTTTTTTTGTCTGTTTGTCTGTTTGTCTGTTCACGCTAATCTCAGAAACGGCTTATCCGAGTTGGATGCGGTTTTCACGAATATATTGTGGTATGCTTCAGTTATGCTTTAGTGTTTGTTTCATGTCAATCGGTTCATAAATAAAAAAGTTACGTCAAATTAAAGAATCACGTCGAACACTATCTATCTATCTATACATATAATAAAATTGTAGAAAAGTGCTGTCTGTACATTGAAAATAAAAATAAAAAAAATAGCAGGGGCTATTGTTATGTCGATTTCGAACCCAAAAATGTAACTAACTTTTTTTTTGTCTGTTTGTCTGTTCACGCTAATCTCAGAAATGGCTTATAAATATATATATATTTAACAGGGTGCGGAAAAGGTGATAGTGGTTTTATTCCTCAGATTCCTCTCATTCCAAAAAATTTTCCGTTTAATTTTAAACGAATTCAGTTTCCAGTGAGCCTATGTTTCGCCATGACAATTAATAAAGCTCAAGGTCAGACTCTAAAAGTTGTGGGTATAGATCTAAGTATCAGCTGTTTTTCGCACGGTCAATTGTATGTGGCTCTGTCCCATGTTAGCAATCCCAGCAGCCTGTATGCTTTCACCCCCGATGGCCATACGTCTAATATTGTATATAGAGAAGCATTACAGTAAAGTAGTTTTTTAGCTACCCAAAATGACTGTGATTATGATCCAAATCTAAAATAAAAATAAGTATATATTTAAAAAAAAAAAACGCTGCTCATAGTCACTATTCTACGCGAACGAAGTCGCGGGCACAGCTAGTCTTTAATAATAATTAAAGTAACTTAAGAATTTAACTCATATTATTATTACCAGAAAGTACTTTAATTTCAAACATACCATTGCACCTTTTACTGAAAGCAGACGTGCACTCGTGCATACGTTTTAGTTACCTCTATATGTATTTTATTAAATAAGTACTATTAACTCGTCGAGTACCGGTTTTGTAAACACAATTATAGAACAATAGGTTGCGGTCACCGGTGACCGCAACCTATTAATAAATAGGTTAAGTAACTTAAGTTTTTTATTATGTAATAAATAGTGAAAATATACAAGTTGACATTTCATTAACTAACTAGTAACCAGGTTATGACTGCGCTTATTTTTATGCACAAATATTTGATAGTGATGTGAATTGTTGTTTCAACTCCGAATATATCTAATCAGACATAAATAAATGCCTCTCCTCAGCTTAAGTAAATGTCACCTTTTAATATAAACGTTCGTCGTGTCTTACTGATAAACGTCTATTCTCAGAACAAAGAGGTTTTGTTAAAGTCAACGATATTAAAAAAACAACATTATCGCTGAAATGAAATTACTTCAACCTCCGATCATTCTAAGATGGGTTAGGTATCTATTGAGATCCAACCTTGATTTGTATTATGACTGAGGAAGCGCAAATACGGAATAATTATAAAACCTGCTAAAGTGCTAAAGGAGTGCCTTAGTATATTTGGAGATGCATCATTTGTTTTCCCAACAACAGTATCGATGTAGGTATATGTAGATTTATCCCCAATTTATTTATTTACTTTTATAGTATTGTTATTTAGTAATATTGATAATGTATCTTATGTAATTTAAATTATACCTATACATACGGATATAATATGTATGTATTTACAGTTATGCATAATCATGAATTTATTTATATAGATATTTCTGTGTCACATAAATTAAACCATAATACCTACCTATTACACCTACTGTTGCACATCTCTGCATCACCCCATGGTTGACTGTTAGAGAATGCCACCCGGCATTAAGTCTGCCATCGTATGTTTAATATATAGAAGTGTAAATAAATGTATGCAATTACAAATGTTTTGTATTTTTGAATTGACTATTTCTATTTATTTCATGTAACTTGTGTTCAGGAAATACGTGTTATCCCATTTATCGCAATTCATTAGACATCTTGGCACAATAACAAGGACATTACGAGTAACATAAGCAGAAATAATGATAGACATGTTTAAAATACTGCGCCCACATTATCTAGTTACATATGACGCGTGTTCGTGCAAACAATGTTTGTACAAAACATTAGCACCTTCAATTGACCGAGGGAAACCGTAGAACCGAATGTTATTCGTTTTCGCTCGAGCGACTCTGAAAACGAGCCTCACATATCATTTGGTCACTCTAACTGACTCACACATACCTACGTACATAGTAATATATGACAATTACACAATTAGCTGCTCCCACTTTATTATCTACTTATATCGGCATCATCTCAGGAGGTTTCAAAAGATTGTACAATTAATGTGACCTGTATGGTACACCCACTGTGACGCATGTGACCCTTGCCTGAGGTCAATCTGACTGACCCACTTAATCTGAGAAATAGTGCAGTCTAGAACATGATGACTAATGCCAGGTGCAATTGGAACTTGGAAACTGTTTACATTTTCTGGGAATAGTTGAAAAATACAGTTTACCTTTGTCTAATAAATATCTTTGTCAAATGTACAAATTGAACCATTTATAAACATGGGTAGATGATAAATTAGTGTAATTGGCAGTGGCAGTGGGCACATAATAAGGAACTTGTGGGCTCTCTGTAAGTCTCCGTAGTCCCGTTTGCGTAGCCACTCTTGGCCAATTATAAAGTTGATATTTATTTTCACTTTATAAAGTTATAAATAAGTATATATTATTTTATATTAGAGATTAATTTACCGAACAAGATTACACCTTTTATATTTTTTTAAACTTTCTTTCGCATTTGCTTTAAAATCTTTTTAACAAATCTTTATATCCATCAACCACTTCTTCATCTTTATATCCCAATTTGTCAAATAAAAATTGACAAGTGGATCTAAGAGTCTTTCCACTTTAATTTCCAGCCTTCAACGGAGAACCAGTTGTTCCACGTGCAGCACATTAACGCGAAGTTCCGTCACGAGTACAGGCACCTGAGGCTGCTATGGGACGAGGCTGGCCAGACCATCGAGTACTCGCTATACTTCAAGAACGACTCCGCCGGCTACTGGCAGGTGTTCAACGGACAGAACGGTGAGACAATATCTACAATTAAGTAGGTACAGTATTTACTGCAGTAACTAATGTTGGTATTTCTTAAAATACTCACCAAATACACGAAGAACTGGCAACGGAAATCACCAATTAATTTGATTTCGTGTATGACGAATGCTGATGAATCAACTTAGCAACGAAATTAATCGAATTCCGTGTCCATTACAGGAACATTGACGGCTCGGCCCACGTATCAACAGTTTAGTGGTACAATACAAGTGCTAAAAGCGGTCAACGACCATCTCCTATTAAACTTCTGTCAAGATCAAGTTAATGGCAAGTCTGCACAGCTGTACTCCGTGCTGTTCTCCCGCGAGCCTGGCTTCATGGAGCGCTGGGAGCTGGACTCAGTTCATGCACTACTACAGAACAAGAAACTATCCGTAGCCTCTAGAAGACTAGTCTGCGGTAACAGTGCCGACAAACCTATTTTTAGTTTAGCTTCTTCCTTCATTTTTCTAATATTGACTTTCGTTATAAAGTCCTATTAAAATCCGTGTTATCTAGAGACTATTAAGGTATATGCGAAATTTATTTAATCGGACAAAATGATATCACCGACAGTCTGTTTCTACGCCCATGCAGTAACTACATAACTATCGAAGATGACATAACGCTAGATGAACTTGAAAGCAGATTATTAATGGATGCGCTGCGGCAAACGTGTCGCGGAAGTTTTGGGACATTTAGCAATCCCTTGCTGTTGGCGTTCGTATTTATACAATTGTTCAGAGTGGTTTCAGACATCACACATTTAGTATTCTGCGGTATATATTTGAAACCGTCATAAAAATATCAAGTACGTTATTAATGTTTAAGACTGTTCTTTGAAATACAAAGTTTATGGCAAACAAAAGCTACAAAACGTCTGCATCGTGAAATTTTGCAGTTGCGATGTTAAATGTGGCATTGTTTGTCTGGGGCCCTCGACTTGCTTATTGACTGTGCAAAATATTAAACCGGTTTCATCTCGCGCGTCCTTGTCTGCACTTGAAAGATATTTTGGTGACGGTAAGAGACCCCAACCGTAGCGTAGACATAGTTCTATAGCGTTTTCGTCGCTATTAAATATCCGTCCTTATAATATGAAAATGATTGATGAACAAGATGGCATTTTTAATTTGTTTACTACGAAGTTTGGGGCAATGTGCGTACCTATAACTATTTATAGGTAGTTGACACAAACGGTAACTAGACAAGTTTTCATTTTTATTACCACCAAATTAAGAATGAGGCAGCAATATATGATACGTAGGGTCGTAGGTAATACAGTCAAACATTGTTCGTGAACTATCTATATATAAGTAGCAATAATAAGCAATTACTTAGATGTCTATTACAATGATACACCATATTCAAACAAACGACCATTTATTTTCAATGTTGAATTCATTTTAGCAAACGATATGATGTCGGGTTGACGTCATACTAGCACAATGTTTTGAAAAATGAATGCAGATAATCTGTTCGCAAGAAAACTTGTATCTGGGGTGCAACTGTTGCCAACATTGCAGTCAGCCTTTGATATTTCAGAGTTATACAACCGACATTATGGTATCTTTACCGCACTCTAATTTGCTGAACTTTCTTGAATATCTAGAAAGCTGTGTTGTAGAATCTATTGTGTATTTAACTTGTTACTATCTCTATCAAAACGTAGTCACTGCCTTCGTCCATGTTGAATTCCTAGGTATATAGTCTGTAGATCGATACTATTGTTAAAACTTATTTCTCAACAAAGTCTTCACTTTAGTCTAAGTTATTATTATTTATTTTAATACCAAAGATTTATTAAAGCAATAATTATTTTAAGTAAGTAAACGTGCCTGTTCTTTTGAAGAATAAAAACTTTAAATCGATTAACTTCTTTCATTTCATTAAACTTCGTTAATTATGTAAAAGTGGTTGATACTTATCACCACAAACAAAGGAGTTTATACCTATATATATACACACGTATTTTTAATTCGAATTATTTTTTTAAATTGAAAATATGTATGCACTTTTTACTAATTATTTACTGAAAGAATAAACCGAAACAAACCGTAGAGCTACGATAGTAATATTATATTGATGTGTTAAATCAAGCAGACAAGTGATTACAGTCTAGACACGGTGCAATTACAGCACTTTTCAAAGCACACAGGTAATCAGGTAAAATGTTACGTGAGTCCACGTAAAATTAGATCGGAAACAGTAAGTACGTGCCCTGGAAGCCTATTTACGTCAACACAAGGCTTCTCTCACGTGAGTTACCAAAAATAAATCTAATTTATTTTCGTTACCCTACTTTATATAAATAGTTATTCAACATTCTCACCTTGAACTGTATTGAATAACAACCCATCTTGTTTTCCCTGAGGGATGGGTCAAGACATACCTATATTTAGATAGGTACCTAACCAACCTGGGTTAGGTACTTAGTCGGCACTCGCTCTTACAGTTGTTATGTAAGTAAGACATCTAAGCTTTACCACCTATATAAGGTTTTAGTGGAAAACATAGGTACATTCCACTAGGTATGCCTTTTTTCTTTAAATGTAAAGAAGGTTTATATGTTTTGTGAGTAAAAAAGTTAGTTTTTAACCAATGTGACGTTGCATTAGAAGGGTAAACTAATACGAATAGATACTTTAAATTTTAGAATTCAGCATCAAGGTCGTTCAACAAATCCAACAAATTGTTTACAGTTGTAAACGCCGTTGATCCAATTAAACCGGCTGCCTCTTTACAAGCTGAAATTAACACCTCCATAAATAAATTCTAACTTTATTTGAACAACGGTACAGTTGAATTTTCTTTGTGTGTGTAGAGTTCGGTCCGGTGGTTTGGCGATGACGTCAGTGGGCACCCACGACGGAACATGCCTGAGGGGTGAACACCACACAGGCATTCATTTGTTTTATAGTCTAGACAGGCCCAGTGGAACAACAACCCTTTAGGAACAATTTTATTGCACGTAACAGAACATATAGCTTTTATATCAGTATCTTATTGAATAAATTAGTAAAATTAATAGCCCTACACACCAAAGTACCAGTACGTATAAATATGCAATTTAGAGTTTTACTAATAATTTCTTTTATCACGTAGTTTCAGTTTCATATTGTTATGTTGTTTCTATCATGTATCTATCATTAATTACAAATTATCAAGTCATATAAAATTTCATTGATTGCTGTAGTTTGTAGTTAGTACTCAATACACAGTCATACGTGAACCATGTCTGTTGCTACTCTCGTGAAAATGAAGTTTATGGTTATTTTGATTTGTGTGATAGTTGGCACGTATGGTAAAACAACTGAGAAACCTAAACCTAAGCCACATCACTCCAATACAACCTGCACTGGGGTTCATGTGCATGGAAAACTGCACAAGAGACACATTATTATGAACGGAATCAACCGTCCATACCAGCTGGCCATATACAATCACAAACATCAAATATTCTTCAGCTTTAATCAAGGAGATGACACCCAGGACACGTTCGGGATTGCTTACGTGAAGATAAACGACACGATGCCTACTGAAATAAAAGGAGTAACAAATGGTTTCGCCGTCATCGTCGACGAACATAACAAAACAGCGTATTTCGGAGGCAGTGAAGGCATCTACGCTGATAATCTCGAGACACCCGGGAACTTGAAGCACATTGTCAAAAATCATGACATTTGGGATCTACAATACTATGATCACCACTTGTACTTCATACAGTACCCGTCACAACACCTGCACAAATACGATTTCAAAACGAAAAATGTCTCACTTCACCAACACATTCACGAAAAAATATTCCAATTCGCGATTGATGGAGAAGGTGACACATTCATAACGACCAAGAATGGCTTGTTTGAGATAAAGAAGGGGAAAACCGACCGCATCCCATACCAAGGACCGAAAGAGTTCCGGGCCATTGAAGTAAACCACAAAGGCGTCGCACACTTCTGTGCTAAAAGTTCCATCTACGTAGCGCACAAGGAGAACCACACGTTGACCGAAATAGCTACCATCAAGAATATATTCGGGTTAACTTTTGATAATTCAGACAATATGATTTATTCAAACCCCCATCAAATTGTGAAACTCTTACCTCATGACTGTAAGTAAACTTTACGGGTGTTAGGTATACTAACTTTAATTATATAGTTTTTATTTTCTTAATATCTAATCTGATTATGTTGTTTAATATTTCTTTCATAAAGTTAATTATAGCTATTTTATGGGTGCATAGACTTCTAGTATCATCTCTTACTCATCCACATAGAGTACTCTCTCTAATCCAAAGTGAAACATTTACATAGTAGTTTTAATACCCTTAGCAACCACTTCAGAACTAAACTATTGTTACTCCACAACAAAATGCACGAGGTACCAGGATAGCAGTGTATTTAAGAGATATTACTCGTACAACATGGTAAGTACATCAATAGAAAAGGACAATAAATTTTATCTCGCTCTCGCAATAGAGGGTCGCACCCTCTGTGATTTTCCCCAACCCTCTGTACACGCGGTCCAATCCTTACGTTGCCCGGGTAAACACAAAGCGCTTAAAATATTTGGGGCAAACTTTAAAATTAATATTAGCAACAAACAATTGCTGTACCTACAATATTTTTTGTTACGTTAACGTATTTGTAGCCTATTTTATTTTAATTAGAAGTCGGTACTGCAATTAAATCGGTTGAAAGTTTCACCAATCGAATATGTACCGAAAACTAAAAACAATATCTTGTAACGTTATGCCACCCTGGTGTTGTGGACGTCGTATCTATTGAACAGTCACCGATAACATACAAATTTTAACGCGACTTGTTGAAACGTGTGTTAGCATGAAAGTAGAATAATTTTGTTTCATTTGTTATTACTAAAATCCTATAAATAAACCCCTATGTGTAAATAATGCCTGAAAATCTATTGTATTCTATACATTTAGATGAGTTATTAACACGTTTAGCAATAAAATATTTAGGAACAATTAATTAATCTTGCATTTTTTCATACTTTTCATGATTTTCCAAATTCATCCCGAATTATAAATAAATCACACGAAGTCAATAATTAAATTTATACATCACTGTGAAAACACCATATTATTATTATGACTTTAGTGATGTCTACGTTCAAGTTTTACTTTCCGATATCTTTCTTCACACAAACTTTTTACAAGTAAATCTGTTCCTAATTTATGTTGTCCGAGTACAAGTGGGTCCGGGATTGGTCGTGGAAAACCAACGTTGGCCATTGGCGTCGTGGCGTTACGGGGACTTTCCTTCGACAAAGTTAACTGCACGAGAAGGAGGGTTGCTTCCGATAACATTTTCAGATTTTCCGGATTACACAAGTGGACAGTGGTCAGGCTGAGTTGCAAAATCTCCATGACAACGTCGCGAAATCGTCAGCAGAGGTCGTTTGTACTAGGGAAACATAAGCCGTAGGCGGTCGTCGATCCAGTTTTGCGAATGTCGGAGCTTTGCGAAAGGGAACTCCACCAACATTCTGCTCCCCCTGTGATCGGCGCTATTCGTAAAATATTTTTGCTATTGATTTTCCGTCAGGGGCTAGATAATGTTAAAGATAATTAACATTCAATTGAAATAATACAAAGATGTTATTATAGATATTTTAATTTAATTTAATGTTTCGAATATTATTTGGTTAAATTGGTATGAATTAAATCTATAAAATCTTACATAATTATTTTTAAAACCCAAAGTACCTACGACATTCTACACTTCACAGGCGCCAGTGGAGGACACAGTCACTGTTCCTCTTACGTAGGTAACACCATCTCTGCAGCCGCAACTATCCTGCGAAACCAAATAAAAATGTAAGCAAGTTTTTGAATGAAGCATTAAAACATTACAAGAATAGTTTGTACTTACAAAAATATCTTCAAACGCCGGGCACTCATCTTGCTCATAAAATTGTACTTTCTCGAGATTATGTCGTATTATTTCGTATGTGGTTCTTTTCTCAGTTTCGCAGCGCTTCTCTGTGGAAACTAGCCCCGTGTTGTATTTCTTAACTTTCAAATGATCAGCGGACACATTGTTCATGATATCAGGACTACCGAAGATGGCATCTTCTAAATATGAACAGTAATTATCGCTTTTCTTGGTCATATTAATGTAACCATCTGAGTTAATGCGTTGTTTTATACGGGATTCATCATTTTCTTTATCAAGGTAGTTTTGGTACAATTCCTCGTCGACTATGGGCTTGGAGGGTGGAGGTGTGACGGCTTTTCGTCGTGATTTCCTCATCTTTATGTAGAAACTTGTGACGAATTGAAATTTGAGTATGTACGCGGCGATTTCAGCGATACTAGCGTATCCACTTTTATTGCTCTTGTTGTGTAGTAGACAGAAATGTTTCGGAGGAGAAGTTCCGTAAGTAAAGCCTGTGGAAATCCGAAACGTTTAATTAAAATGCTCACAGTAAAAGGAGCTACTTATATGTGTTAATATTCCTTAAAACCTCGCACAAATTATACATATACCAAGTATGACTTACCATGTGTATTGTAACAAGAACACGGTGTAATCAGCGGCGCATGTTCCGCCAAGCTCTGCGGCGCGCTGCGCGTGCGACAGAAGTTGGTGCTGTTCCACGTCGTGTCCGTGTACGGGATCGAGTCGCACGCACTGCCACTCGACTGCGTGCACTTACGGGACTCGCGCAGAGAGAAGAATGTTAGAGTTACTACTGCCTAGAAACGACAATAACATGTTTAACGTATGAGATAACATATTATTATAAAGTATATTTTTATTAGTAGTAACTTCTTATTTTAAGCCAATGCATTTTACCAGATTTGAATAGATAAGGATATTTTACACAAAGCCACTTATACACACACACAACCATGTAGTGTTTTCAAAAAGTTCTAGATTTTTTTTTTATTTTAAATGTTAAGTCTAATGACTATCAACGTAATGTTCGTGACAACGATTATCACAGAAGAAGATCGTACCATAGTAAAGCAGCCAGCAGCACATAGTGTGGCACAGAGCGGGAACCCGTACCGTTCGGTGAGGGCGCCCCCTAGCGCCGGCCCGAGCACCTCGCCCAGCGAGTAGCAGCACGACCACACGCCCGCCACCGCGCTGTACGTCGTCAGCGCCTCGGGGCAACCGCCCTCGTAACTAATGTGGAAAACAAGAATTCTTCGATTAAGTTAATGTTGATTTTAATACAAAAGTCAATTAAAAGATAGGAATTAACTAAAATATGAGAAGGTTGTATTTAAAAAATTAAATAGACTTTTAAAGGTACTATGTCAAAGCATTTTATTGATAGACGGTAGCTCTTTTTCAGTTTTGCTGACCTAGCTCTGAACTTTTATAACATCAGAAAATTCAGTAATACTTACATAGAACTAGTTAACACTCCTTGGAAGGTGGGCAAGAGTGTCAAAGCCACAGACATACCCAGTATAGATAAAGCTACTAAATCTAGCCACAGGTCTCTGAAACGTAAAATCAGAGTCATCATATCATCATGAAGACGAACACGATAAAAAGCTTAAATGATGTTAACAAGTCGTAGCTCAATAAAATTAATTTATCCTTTAAACTGTCAAACACCAAGCGGTCACCGGTGACCGCAACCTATTGTTCTATAATTGTGTCTACAAAACCGGTACTCGACGAGTTAAATAAAAGTTAATGCATCGCATCATTAGACAAGATCTTCAATCAACTGTCTGAGAGTGTGGGAGTCATGCTTCAGCACGAATGAAACAACGCTTGCATTGTGTTTCGTCGCGTGAGTGACGTAACCGGAGGCCCAATTACCCCTCCCCCCCTTTCCCAATCCCTTAGTCCCCATCAATCCTCAAGTTCCTAATCCCAAAAGGCCAGTAACGCACTTGTAACGCCTCTGGTGTTCCAGGTGTTCATGGGCGACGCCGATTGCTTACCATCCGATGATCTGCTAGCTAGTTTCCGGCTTATTCCATAAAAAAACCACAACAACTAAGTATGATGATGAGAGTCGATAAAAATAAAATTTCTAGTATAGCACCTTACCTCGGTAGACCCGGTATGAAAGGACAAGGTCCTAGAAGTAACAATCCTGCTGAAGATAGGAACAAACCCCACACCATCATACACCAGTGATTGTGCACCCTGGAACATGCATAGGAATATTAAATTTTAACATTTATGTTGTTTTAGTACTAACGTGGTCTCAATTTAATAGATCGCGAAGTTACTACACCATTTTAGGACCGACCCCAGACGTGTACTCAGTCTTGTAACAAAATCAATTAGAATTATTTTAAGATCGAAATTGAGAAATAACTTTCTAAAATATGGTTTTGTTAAAAAACTTTTATACCGTAATGGATATTCTGAGACTCTGGCTTAAAACTGTTATAATAACCCTAAAACAAACTTACCGATCTGCAACCCAACCCCAAATAGGGCTAAATATTCCATAGAGGCTGGAGAATAGTAGGAATATCAACCCTATCTGCTCGGTGGAGAGGCCAAATTGGCGTAAATGTGGTTCCAGAGTCGGGTCTAGGAAGGCCCAGGTATTGGACACAATCACTATCACAAGACCCGTTATTATTATCGAAGGGATCTTGAATAAAGCGATAATTGAAGCCGTTTTAGAACCGGACACATACTCTGTAAAAAAATAAAAATGTGAGTCAAACGTCTTGTTGGAAGTGACCACTTCAACAAACGAGGGAACGATAAATCATTCAGCGCTTTATTTCAAAATTTTGTTTTATAAATTGACCCGACAGATAGTAATATATTTCAGTAGACAATTTTTACAATTTACTTCAAAATGTATTAAGCTGAGTAAGTTACCTTCGCAATCGGTGAGCAGGAAGAAGTTGATGGGCACAGTCAACACCATGATAACGCCAAGAGTGTAGAATGGTAGCCCGAAGCCCCCGATCTACCTGGAACATTTACATACGTAATTATACATTCACAACTTTTGTATAGGCCACAGAAAAGAGACGGGTACAATGTAAAGTTCTACACTACCTTACATGTGAATAGAAAAATTTCAATTTTCCCTTTGTAATATTACTTCTGCCGTCAATAATATCAACGAAACTCACTGCAACCAATACTACGACGTCAGACGCTACGTTACTACGTGCATACGCTACGTAACTCGTTACGACATTTAGTTTTACGACGTAGTGCGCTACGACACTACGTGCATACGCTACGTAACTTGTTACGCCATTAAATTCTGTGACACTACACGGATACGCTACGTAACTTGCTACGACGTTTAGTTCTACGACGTAGTGCGCTACAACACTACACGCACACGCTACGTAACTCGTTACGACATTTAGTTCTACGACGTAGTGCGCTTCGGTACTACGTGCATACGCTACGTAACTCGTTACGACATTTAGTTCTACGACGTAGTGCGCTACGACACTACGTGCATACGCTACGTAACTTGTTACGCCATTAAATTCTATGACACTACACGGATTCGCTAAGTAACTTCCTACGACGTTTAGTTTTACGACGTAGTGCGCTACAACACTACACGCACACTCTTCGTAACTTGCTACGACATTTAGTTCTACCACGTAGTGCGCTACGACACTATAAGCACACGCTACGTTACTTGCTACACTATTCAGTTATACGCTACGCGTTGCTACGCCCTATTCAATTAATGTTCTAAGATACGGCAAATGTGCCAAGTATGAAGTAGTGTAACGCTACGGTGCTAAGCTACAGGCTACGATAATATTCTAACGATAAGTAGCAACGCCTACCTAAAGGACATGATTACTATTACAAAACCATTAGTTTATTTTATACCAAATACAGTTCATAAATCTAACGTTTCATAACTATTGTACCTACATCTGACTTCTCGTGCACGTTATTGTTCCTGATTTAAAATTTGCGTAACGATAACTTTATACAGCGATATCGACATGAACCGTATTGACGACTAATTAATTTGACAGATGTGTAAGAGCATTAATTAAACCCGTTACGATAACTTTACAGATTATTATAATTATGTTCAGCGCGTGCTCGTTACTCAGATTAATTAGAATATTCAACAACGTTTTTGGTGAGTTTAGAATGAAATTGTATACACTCGTACTTATGTTAATTTTACATTGATAGACAATATTACAGGAAAAAGCTAAGGCGTTTTTATTAATTTGTGTGTGTTGCTTGTAGCTGAAAATTCTGAAGAATTTTTTTTTTACAAAATATGACCTGACAAAACTTTAACTAAACATCCATTATACGTGCCTACTGCCTAGTTACAATATATTTCATAAATCAAATACAATTACCGTGTAGAGGAGGCCTCCGATGGCTGGTCCGACTGACATGCCGAGACCGATGAACGTCTCAAGGATGCCGAGCACCGAGCCTATGCTATCAGGGAACGTGTTCACCACGAACACGTAGCTGGCCGTGGAGTAGGCACTCGCGCCGAGAGCTTCCATCCCGCGCACCACAAAGCAGAGTATCGTGAACATCTGCGCGTCTTCAATTAACGCAAGTGTGCTACGAACAAAAAGCGAACTTGTAGACAGGCCCTTAAACTATACGTGTGTTTAACTGTTTAGTTACAAGTTGAAATTCGTAATCTGTAAGTACATAATACTCGCCTCGCAATAGTCGCTTTCTAAGTTTTCAAAATGTACGCAAATATTTAACAGCATAGATACTTAGTATGATTCTAATGGGGCACATGTTAATCAAAAGTTTTAATTGCATAAGTATTCTCAATAACCTGATTTCAGTACATGTGAATTTGTATGTTTGGAAACGTACCCACGACACAGGAGAAAATGCTAAGTGTGGGGCAAAGTTTTAAAAAAAGCAAGTAAGTGAAATGAAGTACCTAGGTGGCATACATAAAAATATTATAAAATATTTATCAGTATATTTTATTAAAATTGTGTCCAGCATAACAGGGAGGCAAAAAATTACGATGATCATATAGCATATGAAAATGTAATATAAGTCTATTTATTTAGATTTTAATTTTGATTGTTCACAAAAAAGTTTACGTTTTAACGTGCTACGCTTAATCGGAAAAGTTAATAATTCAGTTAATAAGCGTAGAAAATGCGAAAACGTGAACTATTGTATGCCGACTGAAGTAAATGTTAAACTTGTGTTATTCCATAACGAAACGAAGAAAACATAATGTAATGACCGTGCCATTCATCTGCATTTTAAAAAGATTAGAATAAATTGGCTTGTAACTTTCATTGTAAAGTAATTATCTACTAATAAAATATTGCAACTAAAACATACGCATAACACTATAGCATTGTCATTGTAGCCCTAAAGTTATTTTAATAGAATGAATGTCATGATTGGTTCAAAGTAAGCCATTCTATATAGACCCTATCAAACCACAGATTAGATAGCGTAGCAATGTGATAGTCTCTCGTTGTAAACAACATTAGGTACCTATCTACTTAGGAAAGCTACAAGCTTTCTTCGTAACTAGGTTCATTATGTTTACGCTATTCATTAATCATAATTTGCCCATCCCCTCCCCAATCTTCCTAATCCACAACAATCCTCAAATTCTTAGTCCCCAATAGGCCAGTAGTAACGCACTTGTAACACCTCTGGTATTCCGGGTGACAATGGGCGGCGCTGATTGCTTACCATCAGGTGATCCGTCTGCTCGTTTACCGCCTTCTTCTATAATAAATCAATAATAAATAAACGAACAAAATATTCCACATTACTGGCTGAGTAAACTCCCAATTATCCTAATAATGTTTACACAAAACTCACCCAAATAATACATTGCAAGCGCCGGCGACAAACATGCCTCCCGTAAATAGGAACTTTGCGCCAACCGTTGGTAACTGCAATAGGAAAACAGCACACATGAATAAGGTAGGGTGTAAACAAAAGTCAGGAATTAAAATTTTCTTTTATGTAATAACTAGCTTCTGCCAGCGGCTTTGCCCGCGTTCCCTAGGGTAAGTAGCCTATGTGTTACTTCAGATTATAATCTACCTCTGTTCTAATTTTCATCCCGGTCCCTTCAGCCGTTTTGGCGTGATTTAACAAGCAAACACACAAACTCACGAACTTTCACATTTTTAATAGCGTTTCAAGCTTATTACAGTTACAGCGTAATGTCCATTTCGGCTACCCACCCTAACATTCGACAAACTCATTTGGTACAGTCGGATCCAACCGCACAATTAAATTTGTTTTAGTGTATATTCTTCTTCGGGATAACAAGTACCTACCGTGTGATGCCCAGGATATTAAAGTATAATTATACCAAGTTTCAGCGCAATCAGACCGGTAGATTTTGCGTGTTGCGTGAACATATAGACAGATAGACAAAAAAAAATACTGATTGCAAATTTGGCATCAGTATCGATCCCTCCTAATAGTTATTTTGGAAATATATTTCATCTACATAATTGACCTATCTACAGATTTATTACAAGTATAGATAGTTATAATCAAGGCTGATGTTGCATGAATTACACGAAAACAATTAAAATTGAAATCACAATTACTTTTTGTCAGCGTTTCGGGAGCATTCCCTTTACACCCTGTATAGTTCATGTTATTTTATTAGAACAATAGAAGTACTTACCTACCTACCAATCAGAATTATGGAAGCCCTATATGTATGGTCAAAGGTCAAAAGTCCACTGCCACCGCAAGACTACTATCGGTTGCGCTGCAGCGCTTATACATATTTTTATCCGTGTGCGTGCGCGTGTGTGTGTTTATGCGTACGCACGCGTTTTTATGCACATTCATATGAAATTATACTTACGCATTGCCGTGTGAACATCACTCACGGTGGCAGTAGACTTTGACCGTTGACTACATTAGGGAAATGTAAAATATTAGTACCTAATGTAAAAGAATCTTCTATGTTTAAGAAACACTCCTCATTCATCTACGTATTCATGATTCGTGGTCCTAGCCTGGCCTGAAGCGGCACAGTGTATACTAACCGTGCAATCATATCTATGAAGATAATGCTAAGTACTTTGTCAACTTTCTATTATAACAATGGCTTGAGGTTAATATAAATACACCCAATTAAGTATATTAGATAATAGATAGGTGTTTAAATTTATTACCTAAGGGCGAAGGAACATAACACAATTTGATAGAGTATTGGGTTTTAGAAGAGTCTATTTTTAATATCTGGGCTTAAATAGGCATTGAAGTATGCTCTTAAAATAAATTCAATACAAGGTCCTGCTTAGTTCTAGGTAAAATCTAATTGGATTTCACAATATAAGTACGGAAACTTTTGAAGGGCTAAGTAAACGACTAATAATGTCTCATGTAAGACTTTGGCTTACATACATCTAAGGAGGTATGTACTTGTTTACTTGTGAATAGAACTTCTATTTGAAGACTGTTTGCGATTGATAGCTAATGTTGACACTACATACAGATACCTACTTAATTTAATAGGTACTTATATCCAAGTTTGTGTATATATTATACATATCTAAATGAAAAAGTGCTAGGTACCCCTATGTTGTGTGAGTCAAGTGACGGTCACCTGCCCAATAAAAACGCTAAAAAACTTCGCAACTTTCAATGAATTGCTATAGATCTTAAGATATGTTGGTAATAATGGTGAAACAGTACTTCTTGCTAGCCTTAAGATCTTTCACTCACATACAAATATTAGTCTATCTTTGACCTATAGTTTAATAACGCATTGGGTTCATATTTCGAATAGGTACTTTAGCTTTTACTTACGAATTTTCCAAACAGAGGCGATGTAAGGAACATAACGATGGCATAGAAACTGAACACAATGCCACACATGGTTTCCGAGAGACCCTTGGCTGCTGCCTCGCGGGGGAAGAACGGCGCCATCACACTCATGGAGCAGAAACTCATGAAGTCCACAAGAGCTAAGGAAGCCAGCGTCAGCCTCTGCCGGCTGGAGAGGTGCCGCACTGCCCCCGGCTGTAGGCGGGCCTGCGTCCGAACCAACCTGCGAATTATACATTAGATACATAGGAGCTATGTAGCTGTGGCTGTGGTCTGAGTTGTCTATTTTAGTGCATGTGGAAATGTTATTAGTCCATGGTGAAACCTTACACATAACCAGACAATTAACGCTAGTCGCATTTAAGTTCAGTGACTAAGTTGTTAAGATACCTAGACTTTCAGTGCAGTTTTTCTCAAATAATATTTAGTCTTCAAAGTAATATTATTTGGTCTCTCATTTAGGTACTTATATTTGTCAACTATTTCTAGGTAGGTACAGCAAAACCCAAGATCAGTCTAGTGCCTATTGGATTACATATGATACTCGATATAGTTGCTTAACATTGATTATGTACAGATAAATTACGACTGTTATCTTTACATTTACAATACACTGATAATAATAGTAAGAAACTGCAGCACGTGTGGTTATAATAATTACCCACTTAGCTGCATCTATTCAGTGAATAAGATAATAGGTACTTAGGCATGTACCTATACCGGAAAACCCTTGGTCTACGATATGAATACAACCTTACCGTTCTCTCAATATAATAATCTCGGAGCTAATGTCATCTGGAGGTCCTCCAGACCAGGAGTGCACACGGCGCAGCCTGCCCGAGTCCGGCAGAGACCTCCGGCCTCCCCACGTGGCGCCCATGTCTTCCGTGAGGGTGGAGGTCTTCATCATCTTGCTATTAAACACTATCGTATCCTGAGAGGCAGTTCTGTGAACCATAACACTATTCAAATTCGAGTCACTTGTAGTCCGTTCACGATCAATATCACTAAGTAATTGGATATTTTCGTCATCGTCGCACTCTCTATCCATATTGAAGGACCACACTGCTCCTCAGTCAGTCCGAGCAGCTAGATACGGAATATGATCACACCACTGCCGCCGCCGCCGTCGCCGTCGCAATAATAACCGATCGTAAACAAACCGAGTTATCGGTGTGTCAACACACCGAGCGCAGCACCGACCACCTACTACTGTTAACAATTAAAATCCAACCTCGCATATATCAATTTATTATCGATATCTTATCGCGTTCAAATAAAAATTTCCTGGATAGAGAACGTTTTCCAGCCAGTGACGGCGCGACTGACTCGACACGGTGCAGAGGGAAGGGTGGTGGGGTTTTCATTTATTTATGTGCAGGTACCTGATAAATGTAAGTAGGTACTCGTCAAATCTTGTTTGTTTGCGATAATCAAACGGTTAGTAAAAGAAGTTTCGAAAGGATTTCGAATATCTCCATTGCTAGTTTGTTTCACGTGCTTGGCACGTTTATGCACTTTTCACTGTTATTTGTACTTATTTATAGTGAAACGTTTTTGTGCCTGAAACAGAAATAGGTGACATAAAATCCGTATAAACAATACTTTTATTCGATCGATTACATTTTATAGCCTTTATTGACTCAAGTAGGTAGCTGCGTATGTTAAACACTATTTTAGATAAACATACACATATACTTGCGTGAAGTATCACGTAAATGCAACTGCAGAGGACGACGTCGGGTTCAACTCTCTAATCGCGAATATCTGTGTAGATATTTGGTGTCAATTTCATAGTAATAACATTACCGTCACAGATTTTATATACTTAAGCAATTAACTACCATACTGGGAGGAATCATATAACATCTTACTAAGTTATATAAAATAGAACTTACGATGTTCTATCAGTTCTACAACGAATTGTAACGAATTATTACAATAATCACACGTGCATTGGCGGTGTAATAATTGGATTATTAGCAACACTTCAAATTAACGTCAATAAGGAATTAAATGATTTTATGTACTACACTTGTAAACTATACTTAATTCACTTCCCTGAATAGATCCATAATGTAATGTGCATTGTAGCTGCAATCCAAAGCATGAGATTATTCGACGGAAGCACCTTTGCCTAAAACAAACGAGTTTTTAACGATATTGAAAACTGGCATTGTGTTCTGACTTTTTAAAATCAATGTGATAAACATACATTTTGTCAAGACACAAAAGTTATGGGCTTTTTCAAATTAATGTTCAAGATTAGATAAGCGGTATATATATTAAAAATTGAAGATAGGGTGTGACCATAATGAATAAAACGTCCACTTACAAAATATAGTAACCAGATTGATGTTTTTATTAAAAACTAATGTTTATACGTTTAACAAATCAACAATCACTTTGTATTAATGTATTAATGTCACTGAACACTTATTATACCTATAGCTTTTAACATGTCAAAATAAATGTTTGAATCTTCTTATAATTTATTAACAGATTTATGTGAAAAATATAGCATTTGTACGTGACTGCACTCGCGGACAGTCGGAACAATAATATTCGGTACATCGAGGTATCAGTCCGGTTTACATACGTAAGTAAATAGATACATTCTCAAATCTTATATTATGCAAACGATTCAACGCAGCATTATTTAATACAAAAATAGTAACACAAAACGCATATATTTCAATAGTTATGACGTGCGTTTACACATCGTATTTATAGCTTATCTCATAAGTCTTTTTATAAAATTAACAATCAATGAAACATTCTCGTGGAACAGGTTTATTATACAAAACATCTTTGTGATTGACAAAAAATATGTTTGTTTTATAACTGTATTGTATTTAGGTCATCTGTTCCACGAGACTGGATCAAGTATAGAGCTGTCCTTAACACTAGAGTGGCGATATTCTGTTCATAATCGGGCTCGTGTTTGGTGAGCGCGGCCGATCATAACCGAAGCTGAGCGAGTTCCTGCAGCAGCGCAGCCTCTTGCTCGATCTTCGCCAGTTGATTCAGTTCCAACTGCTTTCCGGCTGCTTTTTGTTGCTTCAACTTCTCAATGTCACTCAATTTCTATAACAAATTATTATCAATCAGACATTTAAAGTTATAGGCAAAAAAATATTTTGAACTCGTTTTTTATTGAATTAAGTTTTAAACGCTTGTTTTTAACATTCCTATCGTCACAAAATTATAATTTTCTATAAATTCATAGATTGGCCTTGAATCGAGGTATACGACTCGTGTACAATTTGCTGCACGAGACAATCAAATTGCGGTTACTGTAGGGTTAATACAAATATTTTTTAACACAAGTGAAAATTTTAACGTATTTACCTACATGTAAAAATCTATTTAAGTCGATCCCATTTAAATATCGTAAGCTCATCATCTGATCACTGACAGACAGAAGGACGGACGATTAAATTTTTGACGTTTCAAAAGTGCATAATTAACTCGTCGAGTACCGGTTTTGCAGACACAATTATAAAACAATAGATTGCGGTCACCGGTGACCGCTTGGTATTTGACAGTTTAAGGATTATTTTGAAATCAATGCATTGATTTCATCATCACGCCTTTCATCCCCGAAGGGATAGGCAGAAATATACATTACGGCGCTTAATGCCACTGTACAATGTAAAACCCATATTTTACTATTTATGTTGTAAGTCCCCATGTAACCCCCTAGGTGAGTCTATAGCCATAATACCGTTCATAATTCTGCTACTACTAAGATTTTTTTTAAAACCCAGCCACACTTTACCCGACCTGAGAATCGAACCCGAGATCCTTGCCTGGCAATAGCAATGGCGACCACTTGGCCAACGAAGCAGTCAAGCAAATATCGTAAGAATGTCCTTTTCTAAGTAGGTATGGTTAGGCAGGATCATTTCGAGAATATTAAGTGTATTTCCATCACCTAATATATTCAAATTTATGAGTACATCAAGTACAAAACTGGTTTATAGGCTTGATTCTAGAGCTTAATCGTTATCTCTTCAAATAAATTAAAGTTTAATAATTTTATTAACATTATTTTTATTTTTTACTAGTACTATACTTAGCAGTAGATTTTAACGTCGAAATTACGAGAAGCTAAAGAAATAAAAAACCCGTCGGTGAAACTATCACATCACACCAGCAGCCTATAAATGCCCACTGCTGAGCAAAGCCAAAGAAATTAATCACCATTGATCACCACGCTTGCTCAATGCGGGTTGGCGATTTCAAAGTTATAATTAGAAATTATAAGCGCAGGTTTCCTCACGATGTTATCCTTCACCGTTTGTCAATGGTGTCTAAATAATCTTAGAAAGTACATATAACTTGGAAATAGTCACATGGGTCTTGTCGATGGTAGGTTTCGAACCCGTATCCTCATGCATAAGAAGCGAACTGAATGTATTTAAACATTACTCAAATGTACTTTAGTTCGTTCATAAAACAGTGCTTACATAACTAAGTGTAAAGAAGCCTAAAACTGTTGACCTAAATTCGTAAAATTACGTAAGCACTAAACGGACAAAATTTAGGGGTGGAAAAGCTTGTTTTGACTGACTATACATAAAATTCACAGGGCGAAGTATTTTAGTATGAACCAAAAATAGTTTTATCAAATTAAAAAATAATGACGTCAACTAAGGAGGTCGTTCGTGACGTAACGCGGAATGAAATTGTTTAATTCCTTATCTATATTAAGAGGCATAATATGGAATCTAAACTAGAATATTAAATGTGACTAACTTGTTTCCTATTTGGAGCTAAAGCAACCTTTATGGTACCATTTTGTAGTCTGGTTTATATCATTTAATAAAAACATGGTACTCAGCCTCTTTGTAAACTGAAGTGTTAAATTAAAATTAAATTATTAATGATTTGAAGAACTGATTAGAATTTTATGTATTCTTCTTAGTTTAAGTTGTTTCTGTGTTAGGTATGTATTGAATGGTAGTGGTTGGATGTGAAAAGTTATGAAGATCGACTTTAGTGGCATGGTACTGGGGAGTTCAATGTACTGATGGAAAATAAAGATGATAAATTGATTACCTTATTGAGATTTTTGATCTTCTTGTCCTTTTCAGGGTCTCCTGTAGAGATGAATGGTGCGCGGGGAGTAGTGGCAGCTGCGGGCGGTGCCGTGGTGTCCCCACTAGCTTTTTCTTCAGCCTTGCGCGCCTTCCGAGCCTCGCGTTTTTCTTTCTGCTTGATCGCCTGCTTCGATGGTGCCGCTAAACCAAATTATAACATTTTAGGATAAGATGTCTTCGTTATGGACTGTCGTGCTCGACTCTACTAATAAAAAAGTAAGTGTGCAAGGATGGTAAGCAAAGCAAAACATATTAGAAACTAGAAAGCATACTGTGTAGGTACTACATCTCACCACTAGGCGTTTCTCCAGGTCTGTGTGGCTTCTCCTGCTCATGTAACGTGAACGTCGAAGGTCTGTTCTTAGCGCCGGGCGGCCTGTATGCAGCGACTGGTTTCGGCGTGGCATCCTCAATGGACTTGGGTACTATCTTAGAGAGCTCACTCTTTGGGAAATTCCCTGGCTGCCAGCTGATAGCTAACAGGTTCTCCTTCTCAGCACACATACGCTTGTGCATTAGGGCGCATGTGTAGTGCCATATCTTGTAACTAAAAAAAGGCTTATTGTTAAAATCGTTCATTTCCTGAAAGTCGAGTGTTCTTAGTGTTGAGGTAGTCTACAAACGTTAAGAGGTGTTTTTGTAAAGTTAAAGGATTTTAAAAACGATTATTAATGAATGAATGAAGAATGGATGATGCTAAACTAGCTGGCTAAAGAAATCAAAATAGAATAATTAGCATTTCCTGATAGGTAATAAAACCGGATTTCATACATGTGTAAACAAATTACTTAAGAATAATATAGAAGTAGCAATACATACCCGTTGCCGACAGTAAGCCTGGGGTATGTGGTGGCAGTGACGAAGGTCTCGGCGCGGGGGTCCCACACGAGGCTGGTGGTGTCGGGGGCCGCGCAGGACCCCACCTTCTTGTACCCGCGGAGCTCCCACACCTCGATGTGACCCGACGCTATGTTACCGAAGCCACCCAACAGCACGCGTGTTTTATAGTTAAGGAATTATTTTTCAATGTTGTTGCAAAATCATACAAGGAAGGTTTGTTGAGACTAAAAGATACCAAATTTAAATAGGTATCTAAAAGATTTTTGGGTCATAAATTGGTACCTAAAACTACGAGTCTCTATATCCTATCTCAACCAATATGCATCAGAAATGGTATTTAAGACAATTACAAACCTTTTTTGAGATCAACTAAATATCGCGGGTTATTCATGTGAAAATACTGAAAATAACTGTACTAGTTTCGAACCACAGAGGGGTTCTTCATCAGAACCCGCGATTTTTATTAAACTTAGTATGTCTCACGATAGTTATTAAATACACATTTTTCACATTGTCATTAATCACTATACATACATATATAACTTCACGCCTGTCTCCCATGGGGGTAGGCAGAGACCAAGGAACGTCAATTACTACGATTCTTACATACCTCTTTCGCTTCATTAACAGTCATCAATCTTTTCATGCATGCTCGTCGGTTAAGGGTACTTTTAATTTGGCCCTTCTTTAATATATCGCCAATCTGGTCACTATATGTCCGTCTAGGGCGCCCTCTACCGACGGCCCCATTCATATCCGCTCTGTATACTTCCCAGATTCATAATGCCAAATTTTTGGGTGTAACTCTTGACTCTCATTTCACGTGGAAGGAACATATTAACAACTTATGCAAGAAAATTAACAAGTTTGTCTTTGCACTTCGGAAAATAAAAGACGTAACATCAATTCAAAGTTCCATTATGGTGTATCATGCATATATTTGTTCCATAATACGTTATGGTATCGTCATATGGGGAAACTCCTCTGAAATCATGAGGGTCTTTGTGGCCCAAAAAAAGTGCGTTCGTGCAATGTTTGGCATGGGATGGTCGGATTCTTGCAAACCCGTATTTAAATCTAAAGGATTGTTGACTGTTCCTAGCATTTATATTTACGAAGTGGCTAAGTTTGTGAAATATCATAGTTATTTGTTCGTTGCTAACGATAATGCTAACAGACGCTTGATCACTCAGCTGCCCCTGAAAATGCCCATCCCTAAACTAGAGCTTTATAGGAAAAGTTGTGCATATATGGCGCCGCTCATATTTAACTGTCTACCCCGAGGAATTAGCGAGCTGCCATATAAACCGTTTTGTCGTGCCTTACAAAAGTGGTTGGTTCAGGAGAGTTTTTATTCTACCCGAGACTTCCTAAGTAACAGCAGCTGTAGGTATGCAGCTTTTTAAATCATTGTATCATCGTGCTAATCAGTGCCTCCATGTTTTTTGACCAAAATTAATTATAAATTTCTCACCTGACTTCCTGTTTTGCTATGACAATTAATTTATTGACTTTTTAGTATATTAAAATTTGACTACAATATCTGATACATAATTTCTTCATGACATCTTAATTTTATTGACATTCCTAATTTATTTTCTGACTTTACCTGTTTTAATTTATTTGAATTGTTATCAATAATAATAATACTAATTTTAATATAATTGTTCTTTAATTAGACATAAATTAATACTGTTATTATAATTTTATATTTCTACACCGGTAACGGTAGTATGTGTGGAACTTTGTTAATTTTAAGATCTGTGTGCACCATGTACTGAGAAATAAATGACATTCATTCATTCATTCATTCATTCATTCATTCATTCATCGTCTCTTACATGCTCTGCTAATATTGGATGTATCTATATTATTTATTTATTTTGATTTGTATATCAGTGTAAATACTTACATCAGTTTGTGTCATTGCGAAAACATTGGTACCACGTCGATTCCAGTAAAATGTAGCCTTGTCAGCCTGAAATGAGGACCGGCTCACCACTGCCTGGGCCTGATCAAACTCAGGGTATTTGAATACACGCCAAAATGATGGCTGGCCTGCTTTACCTGCAAACCATTCGGAATTAGATGCATAGGTAAAACGAAAAAATATGTGCAAATGGTGCATGTCATACACTTTGTGTACATTCTGTAAAAGACCCAATTATCCCCCCTCCCCTACGGTCGGTACCATACCAACTAAACTTTTATCTTGTTGGAGTCATGGATATAGTATTACATTTTAATAAGTCTTATTAAAATTCAAATCAAAGTTAACTGAAGTTAGCAAAGGCAGAAAAGTAAGCAAGATGGATAAGTATAACACTTATTTTTAACTATACCTACCTAATGTAAATGCAGCAAAGTAATAGAGAGGAGCAGCACTAGGGGAGACACTGAAACACTTCAGTTTGTCTGCCTGCAACTGTTGCACAAATCTGTCCAGTATGCCATCTTCATAGATCAACACCCTGTTGTTCATGTGTATAGCAAACAGTTTCTCATCCGATGTCCACTTTGGTTCCCTTTAAATGCATAATTTAAACATTAATTTACTACAAAACTACATTGAATTTTTTGGTTACAATACCTGAATATTAATTAAGTAATGTAACTTACCATCCAGTTTGATTTTTTTGTATGAAGCTGCCTACAAGTTGGCCATCAGCTGATTTATAGACATGTAGGTTAGGTTTGCCCTAAAACAGTAAACTCTTGTTGATATTGTTTCACTTGCTATTGCAGTTTATTTTAATACTTGAGACACAGGTGTATTTCCATTGATTGTTTATTACCTGAGGGATCTCCTTTGTCATAATGAACATTTCCCAGATAGTAAAGTAGTTGTCCAGGGGTGAGAAAAACATGTCTTTGACATTTCCATTTATAGTTGCTGTTACTGACCAGTCGGAACATCTTACAATCTCAACTCTGAAAACAAACAATACGTGCATTTAGTTGACTCCACAATCAGCAAGTACAAAAGATTGTACTTATTTATTTATACCCATGTAAAGTAATAATCAAACACTCACTTCTTATCAGTTCTATATGCTAAATATGTTCCTTTAGGACTAAATATAATGCCACGTATGTTTGTAGTGGTTTCATCCCTTAAATTTGTCTCTGCATACGGCTCTTTGAAGTCAACTAAGAATATATTTTTGGTGGTCAAACCTGAAAAATATTATTGTGGTGGAAATCAGCATTTATAACCTACAAATAGCACTTTTTCTGAAAATGAACAGATGTTCTGTAAATATTTACCGGCAATATATGGAGTACTCATATTTGTTTAGAGGTGTGATATAGAAAATTATCTAAAACCTCAACATTATAGATTTTACGTAAGATAAGTTTTATTTTCACAATTTGCCGCACGGCCAAAGAACAGACAGTAGACGTTTATGTTGTGCTAAGTGTTGCCAATTTGCCAATGTGTCTGAATGTGTTGCCACACAGAACAGACAGATAATGATAATGATTAATAACACAAAAAATCATTTAGCACCCAGCTTGCCTAGAAATTATTAATTATTATGACGGAACTTCCGCGTTATTCATAATAAAGATAGTACTATCAGGACAGCTCATGACACCATTGTCTTTTTGAAAGGGCCATAATATTATTTACCATTGTTTACAATTTATGCGGCTGAAATATTTATCTAATTTTGTGAACGCAGCCGTAGATCGAACAAAGTCAATCAGATGTCAAGCAGTAGTTCAAAGAAAGAATTCAAAATGGAGGATTTGAATTAATAACTTGTCAGATAGGCGTTTGCGTGAAATTTTTAGCTTCATTTAAATGAGCTCGTGTCTGTTTTTTAAAATATTGAATAAAGTAATTAATACTTTAAATTTCAATGTTTAGTAACAAGATTCAACTCAGGAAACGTACCCCTGAAAATGGGACAGATCGAAAAACTTTTCTATCGCTTTTAGTGGATGAATATTTGCATTCCACTGCGTATGGTAATTATAATTCATTTATTTACGTATAAATTGAATAAATATTAATAATTCAGACTAAAACGTTATGACTTTTATATAAGTTTCTGTGACCTTTGTTTGTAAGCTTTGATGTTTTTTTTTGAAGAACTCACGTAATAGGTACCTATATTTATTTTTCAGATGCTAAATGCCAAGTATTAGCTAATTTGGCTAACTTTGCATACGACCCAATAAATTATCAATATATCAGAGACGTTGGAGTCCTGGATATTTTTCTTCATGTCATTAAGAATGAGAGCAGTCACCAATTGCTGCATTTTGCTGTAACAGGGATCTGCAATGTATGCTGCGGTGAGTATATTTTATTCATATTTTAAATGAAAAGTGATGTAACCGACTGCTATATAAAGTCAATATTAAACTGTCAAACACCAAGCGGTTACCGGTGACCGCAACCTATTGTTCTATAATTGTGTCTACAAAGACGGTACTCAACGAGTTAAGAGGCATTCTTGTGAATAATAAGATCTTCCAAGAAGATTATTTGAATGAAGACTTTCTCTATACTATTTCATCCATTTTTATTGCCTTAATATTTTAATGTATTAATGATATTTTAAGATTAAGATACTTTAATGATTACAATTGTTTATCATTACAGATCCACTGAATGCTGAATATATCATAACACAGTCTGGACTGAAGCCCCTCACTGCTTTACTCAGTTTGAATCATAATGACATCATTGCTGACACAATCACAACTTTGATGTATCTCCACAATAACCAAACAGAATCTGAAATCACAGCCTCGGAGGTGGTGCATCAGATACAATATTTACAAAAATCAAATGACAAAAGATTAGTTAACTTAGCCACTATATACCTACAAGATGTATGCAAAGCAAATGAGAATTTATAAATAAAAGTATTTTTACAAAAATGAACAAGATGTTATCAAACAGATTTCCCTATATTGTCGTGAACAACAAGAACTATCAGAAGATATGTAAAATTCACACAACTTCATTTAGTAACACAGCTTTCAAAGCTGGAGATAAGATTCGCATACAAAAAACTTTGACTCAAAAAGATTTGGATGCATTCTCCAACCTCACTAGTGACCATAACTACTTGCATCAGAATAATGGCAACAAGAGGCCAATAGTGCATGGAGCACTCCTCAATGGTTTAGTGGCCGGACTGATTGGCACCCACTTGCCTGGCCCTGGTACAGTGCTTGTATCACAAACTATGAAGTTTCCTAATAAGTGCTTTGTTGGTGAGAAGTTGACTATAAGTGTAGAACTTGTTGATGTGAGGAAGATTCTCAAAGTAAAGTTTTATTGCATTGTCGAAGAAGAAAAGAAGGTTGTGTTTGAAGGTGAGGCTAAACTCATGTTAGCCAAAGACTGTTAGATATATAAGATAACTCATAATAATAACTTATTTCATAGATTTAAGTATTTAGTATTAAGTGAAACATGTAATGCCACAATGCATTAAAATTTATAAATCTAAAAATTATAATTAAAGTCTATTGGGAAAGTTAAATTTTATGATAGTCTGTCTATGTGCCAATAAAATCTTGAAATCAAATAATATAAACTGAAAAGTACAATTATTTAGTTTTAATTAGTTAACTCAGTACCTACAAGGTAGTTTAATATTTAATAACTGAACAGTTGGAACACCAAGTATGCTGCAGTTGTATCATGAAATCTGTCCATTTAATGTCCATTATTATACAAATTTCATAGTCTATAATTAATTAAGACTGATAGTAACTAGATCACGAGTTATCCACATAAAAAAGATGCATATTGTTACATCTCGTGCAATTTTACTGTCAAATAATTTGTCATGCAGTCATAATAAATTATTATTGCTGGTAAATATGTATTTACACAGCAACATGCATAACATTATTTATGTATTATAAAATTTCAGAAAGAACTATGAGAATGTGAGTCATGAAAATTGTTAATTCGTTTAATAATAACATAACATTGTATCCATAAATATGATTTCTTGCCTGTGTCTTGTGTCTATAAAGCATGTTTTTATCTGGTAATCACTTACAATTTACATTTTTGATGAACATAATTCTTCTAATATTTTATAAGTAGTTGGAGTCAGCTAGCTATTAATTCTGATGTATGTGTCTTTCATTGACTCCATAATAATACTGCCATTTTGAAGTAGCATTTCCTGTGCCAACTTCAAAACAAATGTTTTGTCTGTGCTCTATTTGACCATGTTACTGTGTTGACTTGTGATAGTATTTGTGTATATTTTTTATATTCTTGTATGCAGCTAATAAATGGACATTAACTTTTTGGTTTGATCATTGATGATAATGTATTTGTTTCTATGTGTCAAAGGACATGAAAACAACTTTTCTAGAAAGTATAATGTAAGATAGTATTTACTTAATAGTAAGTATAAGTGACTGTTCCTCTTTTCATTACTTTTTTACTGCTGGTAAGTAAGATTCTAGTGAAACATCAGTTTGTTTTTCTGTTAATTGGTTATTTTAGTTTGTATCACTATCACATGAAATGTGATCTTGTCTACTTTATATTTTTATGGTTTATGTTCATGTACCTAACTTGTGTAACTATTTTTTGTTTTACACTTCTTGATCTGTTACAGACGTGTTTGTTTTTATTTTATTAAACTTTAGTCTGTTTATTTGTTTTTTTTTCCAATAATTCATGTACTTGTATACATGTAGTACTCGGAATATATTGTAAGAAAGCTTTACAAGTAAACATTTTACTTATATTTGGTAGTCCATAAATTGTGCTTATTGATATTATCACTTTATAGCATTTATGTAGTGTTAGAATTTTCAAATTTTATTAACATTATTGCTAGATGCTAGATGAACTTGCTTCAGTGTTTTATAGTGTCAAAATTCTATGATAGGGAAGGCTGTGATTGAACTCATGTAATCGACAAATGTTGACGAAACGAGCAGTGCGACGCAGATCGCTGTAGTAGTAGGGACTACGATAAGAATTTTTGTCAATTTTTTCGTCTGATCAGTACTTAGTATTTTTAATAATATGTAGAAAATAAACTGAATCGTGTAATATGCGTTTTTAATTTGTGTTATTAATAGGAATTTAGTAAGGGTATTAGATTTTGTGCTCTCCCCATTACATGAGACCTGAACAATCAACTATAGCAATAACTGGGTACACTCTTTTATGTACACCTCTGCTTAACCCTCTTTCATTTTAAGGTGTTATGTTATAGAACTTGCTGAACTTGTGCATGTTAAATAAGGAAATTAGGTACCCAATGCTTGAGGTGCAATTTACCTTTTACCAACCTTCAAACCAAACCGAAATCCTATTCACGTTTTTATGCATTTTTTTACTTATACTACTCACTGTTACCTAGTAATAGAATGATAGAGTAATAATTCTTAAGAATTTATATACATTTCTTAAGTTTGATGTGTTGTGATTGTGGGTGCTTTTACAAACATCACATATATGGCATTACACCCCGGGGCCAGTGGCGTAACTACAGGGTGGCAAGTCTGCGAATAGTTACGTCACTGCCCAGAGATAACAATTTTATGGAACTTAGGTGAACCTTACCTCTACCTTACCTATATCTATCTATTTATATATAATTCAAAGGTGACTGATTGACTGACAGTGATCTATCAACGCACAGTCCAAACAATTGGACGGATCGGGCTGAAATTTGGCATGCAGAAATATGTTATGACGTAGGCATTCGCTAAAGGTAGGTAAAATAAGGGATGAAAGTTTGTATGAAACTTTGTCAGCTTTGCACCGATCGGGTAGAAATTCGACATGCAGGTTGATGATAAGACGCAGGCATCCTCTAAGAATAGATTATGATCAATTCTACCCCCAAATTTGGTCCCCAAATAGGGGATGAAACTTTGGATAATCTTCTTATCCATTGAATCTTTTTGAGTTACATTCGGTAAAACCATATTTTGAGACCTGGAATATGATGTATGCATGATAGTTTTTAATATCACAGAAGTCCCACGGGAACGGGAACAATGCGTTAAAGCTCGGGACTCTATCTCTTAACCACTGAACTTATTTTAAGAGATTCGGTATAACAATAGTCGTTAGAATAGTGTTTATCACTAACACCTTACGAAAACGAGCGCTCTACTGGCAAAACCCCTGCGGGATTACTTATTTATTTTTTGAAACCACGATAAATTCATTTCACTATAAATCTCACTTCGGCACTGAATCGATTCTGATGAATTCTGCCAGAAGTTCTACGCGGGCAACAGCTAGTAGTAATTATTTTGGAAAAGCATCTCACATGAAACCATTCAGTTGGTGGGTTTTTTGAGTCATCACTTAGATCTTTTCATTATTTACAATATTTTACTACATAGTTTGTTAGGTAGCTACCCTTAAGTGTATCGATAGCCAGGGCCGACGTTGATTACGCTGGGGCCCCTGAGCAGACAACAATTTGGCGTCCTTTTGAAATGTTTCTTTTTTGTAACGTTGCACCACACTAAGATTTTCGTGAAATAAAAAATAATAAACTGGAAATAACAATTTGTGGATCACACAAAGATTTTCTCCGTGCGGGAATCGAACCCGCTACACGTTCCGGGCAGCCGGTTGCTGCGGAACGTGTACCCGGTGTGTTAGTTGTAAAAATTGTCGGTCCTTCGGGGCCCCTGAGGATGGGGGCCCTGGGCACGGGCCCCGAATGCCCTTATGTTAAAGATGATACTGGTCTACTGATGCATCACTACCATGTAGCTAATAGCTACGAACATCGGCTTCAGGGGAAACCTACAAATATGTAGAAATTTAGTTACTATATACCCACCCACGTACAGATAAACCACTCGGAATTTTGTAGGCTCATGTTAAAAGTATTTATTTAATACAATAGATCCTTATCTTAAAACTATTTACAATCAGCAATCACGTTTCTACAAAGAAAGTTATCTGGATAAATTCACGTAAAAATATAGCGAGGCGTGAATTAGACACGTTTTGATGTACGGCCATGAAGCTGAGTTGACAGTTTTTCACTGAATATTTAGCGGAGACAAGGCGTTTATATGGCCAGATAATTATCGTCAGGTCATACTATAAGTTCTCATTGAGGAATGGTGTGTTAGTGGGTGATGTGGTTGGTCGGAAGGAATTACTGCAGAACCTGTAAGGAAGCCAGAAAACTTTGATAAAGTAAGTAACTGTTCTTGTATTAATCAATATTCTATTCAGCACTGATTGTCGCGGAGAACCTAACGGGTTACCGGGGCTTCGGCTCGACGGAAGGAACGGGGTGGTTTTAAGTCAGTAGAGTCTGACACTTCCTCCCGCCTCACCCAGGCGGGAGCAGTCATTCGATGATTTTACCCCGTTAAAAAAAATCAGCAGTGATTGCCTCATTGGTCGAGTAGTCGTAAGCGCGATAAGAGGTTTTGGGATCGATATTCGGGTTGAGTACCCTTTTGATTTTTTAAATCACAGCACCTCTTTGTTGGGTTATAAAAGCCGTGATGTTATGTTTCTTTGAACAGACGCTTTAGGTAAAATCTGTTTAGAGTTTAGACCAAACTAGATAGCCTAGCTGGCTGCTTAGCTATTTTAGAACCCACTAGAGAGCAACTAAAATTAGAAAAATCGATTCCTAATGTTTCTCTTTACCTACAATGTTTGTCTAGGTTGTGAGAGTAGTCGTGTAGGTACGTACCTACGTGTATCTAATAATCTTGCTATTTATTTTATCACTGAAACTCCAACCAATGTCTAAAATCGATTTTAACTCGTCGAGTACCGGTTTTGTAGACACAATTATAGAACAATAGGTTGCGGTCACCGGTGACCGCTTGGTGTTTGACAGTTTAATCCACCTATTTTGGATTGAGGCCGGTTATTAATTTCGGTTGTTTAGTGAACCATCTAAAAAGTTAATCTTTTACAGGATCTATTTACAAAATGCATGGACTCCAGTGGTGGTTATGGTTGCTATTCGTGGCCTGGTTGTTTGTGGCGGTAGCAGGTGAGAGCAGACGCAAGACGAAACGGGAGAACTACTCCATCAGTGCTCCCTCGGAGGAAGAGACTAACTACGACGATGATTACGAGGAGGTAAGGGTCTTTGAAAAAACTCTGCTTGTACAGACCTTCGAGAGGTGTCCTTGGAAAAACAACCTCGGCCCAAATATACCGAACTAGGTAGGTGCTAATGCTTAGGCACTAGGCAGCTGGTCCTATCCCCATTCACCTTAAGTCGTACAAATACCGCTCTTCACCCCTTTCTATTAAAATAGGCTGATGGATTTACAAAAACGGTTATGTACATGTGAAAACTATAAAACCGTATTAGGTTTTAGAATATTCACTCAATTTCAACGTAACCCTATTAAAGAACCTTCGGACCTAAAGTAAAGTGTACCTACGCAGAAAGTCTGTCTGTCATTTTTTTTCATCGAAATTTCGTAATTTGTACAAAGATGACAAACAAAGTCAGCAAACGTGTAAAAGATCCAATAAAAATAAACTGCACTAACACTGAACGTATGCACGTTACTGATTGCACTTGGTACTAGCTTGCTAAGGTCTGAATGAACACTATTTCAGACCAGTTTGACTTGTAAGTTAGTGCAGGCTTCCCTTAAGGCGGTGGCGAATATTCGTGACTGCTTCTTTGGGCAGGCGGCAAATGGTTGTAAGCAGGCGTTACTGACTTATCTACATAATATCAAATCAATCAACTGAAATTTTCTGTTTTCATGGGAAGCTAAATGTCATTTCATTTTCATAAACGAATGTTCTAAAATTTGTTTTAACAGCTAGAACCATGCCAGTGCGGAGTTTTCCTGTCCCAGCAAGTGGGTATCAAGGAGAACAATCGCCGCAGCCGGCCACGCGGACCTCCACAAGGGGAGCCCGTCGTCACCTATGATACAGACTCACCCAGCATGCCCTGCGGTGTCGGAGGCTTCAAGAACTGCGTCAGCAGGTGTCTTGATGTGGTCAGTATTTACAACACATAAGCTAAGTTTATAAGGTATTTTTAAGCTGTTCTAATTGGAGTAGGAATTGTGCCCGGTGCAATAAGTATTTTAATTAGGTATGACAATTTCGCTCGACTCATATTAGGATAGGAACATGGGTATAATAAATACAAATGGCGAAAAGTGAGTGTACTAAGAATAAAATACACTGTCTGCCTCTTCGGTGAATAAGGCGTTATGTTATTTGCATATCTCACCGATGCAAAATAATACAGCCAAATCATCGTACTCAGATGTCAGGGTACAACGTTCGACGAAGGATAATGTAAGCAATAGTGGACAGTTTCACAACAATTAAATAAATTGTTTATTTATTTCGTGCGCTGATTAATTTTGCAAAGTAAACATGACACTAACGCGTAACCTCACGGCCCTTCATTGTAATTAGCTGCCATAATAGAGGTCGCCGCGTGCCACGTCACTGATCATAACAATACCAATCAAATTGTTACGTGAAGGTTGACACCGGGCACTTCGCTGCCATATTATATGGATTTTATATTTATAACTTTACTGTCTGCGAAAAAATGCTCTTAGTTACGATTTCCCATCACATCGTTCTTTACATTCTTTCGATTTGTATGTATGTAGGTATTCTTTTGTTCTAAAGTATCCATTATTCACTGACAACTAGTCTGTGTAATATTATGCAAGTTATTAGAATATGATGTGGTGCTAAGAATGAACTGCACTTGTTACCTACATGTAGCTCGATTCTAAACCTTAGGTAGCACATAGGTACATTGTCATGCTCAGCTTAAGTTCAAGTTTTCTCTAATTAGACCTGTAAGACCGTTTCACCTAAATTATGATATGTAACGTTAAATTAATTTGTAACGGTAGATCCTGAAATACCTGCCACGTGCCGGGCCTGTCATCTGCGGGGCGGTGGAACGCGACGTTCACAGAGAAAAGGCGTTCCTCTTCATAAAGAACTGTGGCGGGGAGTGGACGCCCACCAGCTTCTCAGCAGGCAAGGAGTTCTGTTGCACCGACGGTGAACATCACAAGTGCTAAAGAGCCTTTATAATGTGACCTAGTATGTTCATGACGTGTGTATAGTGGTAACAGGCGGACGATTGATTGGTTGCAAAATGATGCCATTTATCTAATTGAGCAATTGCTTAGGTTTAAATCCTCTTAGGACACCTACATCTTCATTCAAACACACATATGTAGCTTGTTCATAGTAATTTTGCGTACAAATAAGTTTCAACAACTGACTGCATGGTTGATATACTGTCGCACTCCGTATTGTTGGTTCGATTCCCACGTTGATGTGTTTTATAAGCTTGTATGTAGCTATGCGAATATTTCACCGCAACAAAGAGACAAGGTAAACATCTCTTGATGAGTCTATCTTGAATTTCATCGACATCACTGAACATGGGCTAATACTATATGTGAAGTATAATGTATGTATTTGAATTTTAAAAGCAACAGTTGTTAGGTAGCCTTGTAGATAATTGACTTTGTTTGTATAGTTCGTGAGGCAGGAACTTGACTTTACATCATGTAGTAAGTTAATAAAAGAGGTCCTGTGGATGAGTTTATATATCATCACCGTTCGTTTAGCTCTGTTCTGTCAATTATAAATGTAAGTATCTATGTTACAATGTAAGAAATGTAGTGAATATTACCAATTTATTATCGAAAGGTCTCGAGTCTTGATAAGTAGTTGATGAAGTCGATCATCAAGTCAATTTGTCAAAGCATATGAACTATGAAGTGTGAGCAGTAGGTATCTAGACATCATTTACTCAGGATCAAAGTCGAGTTGTGTTTATTGTTTCATATTGTGCATACACATCGAAGTAAACCATGTATTTATGTAGCTAGTGTAGTGTAGTATCGTAGTATTGGTAGGCATTTTAAGACGAAGTTACTTACTAGGTAACATTTTATAATTTAGTTTGTATTTATTCTTCAATTTAAAATATTTAGCAAGCAAATCATGTCGGAATTGGACATATGTAAGTAAATCTTAGTGTAGTTATTTAAATAACATAGTAAATGTATTAGTTCGACATAAAAGCCAAATTATCTTGATAACTGTAAGAAAGTGCGCTCATCACATTAGTTAATGTCTAATTAATCGTTACAGCTAAGTAATTAATTTCAATAAAACCTATCTATTAATTAGTTTACGACGTGGTTATGTAATTACAACTAAGTGCGTCTACTTTTGTTCAATTTGTAACCTTTACCGCTGTAATTAGATTTATTTATATTTATTAATAATCAACAATGAAACGTCATTGATAACATTATGTTAGGTATGTAGGTACATTGTAGATGTAAGTCTTGTAATATATTATTAAATAATTAAATTGTTTGTATTTTTACATGATACGTCATGCAGTTTATTGTTATACAATAACAATAAAGTCGTGGTAGTTACCGGCTCAACAACTTGTTTTCTATAGACATTAACTCGACCTGATATAATAAATTCGCTTTGGACACGTTTTATTTTTACGCAAGGACTTTATTTACGCGGCCCTGGCATGTGTTAGCATATATTATCTATTTTTGCGCACGCACGCGGTTCCGCGCGTCTTGCCGGCGTGGTCCTGCGCTAGCGCTGGTGGGCGCGCCGAGGAGTGTCTTATCCGCTGACCTGGTTCTGGATTATGGTGTCAATGAAGTTCCCTTATCAAGGACTAGTACACTCACGTCAAGTAAAGTACGTAGTTGTTGCTAGACGTACAGTGCGGGCGCGGCGGGGGCGGGCAGCGCGGGTGCGCGGGGCGCGCGGGGGCGCGGCGCCTGACCCGGATCGCGTAGGGTGAACAACCCCGACACGTGCCACTTTCTAAAAGAAACGCGCGTCGCCCGCGCATCCTTGCGTGGACAGCTGGGACACTGGTTGCTTCTCTATTACATGTCTAAAGCGTTTTGGCACCTAACGACCATCTAAATATAGCACACGCCTCTCAATCGTATTATTCCTTAATCAAACAACTTGTCTCGGCCAAAATAACACCTTGTACATTGGCAGTCCACTCAGTAGAGCCACCTGTATCGGCGACCACCCGTCTTTATGAGCATACATAATTTGAATAATTTCTTTTAGCTCATTAAAGACTTGATTTCATTAATCAACAAACAACGTAAGGCGTTGTTATGACGTCAGAATAATTATGCAAGTAGTACTAGTACTTTTAATAGAATTCACATAAAATTGTATAAATAATTAGGTACCGCGACTACCCTGAGGTTAGCATGTCGATATAATATGTATGTAAGTAGTTGGGTTGGTCAATTCTCTGAAATTCTCATTATTATTCTGAATGGAGTTAAACGCGCCTTAAAATGGTGCGCTACCTGTAGGACTGCCAAAAATATACCAAACAAAATTTGAATACCATACAACGGACTGACTAATACTATTTTAGGTTAAAAAGGGGAGTTATTTAGTTATCTACGACTAGATACGTAGTTAATAGGCCAGTCTTCCTTGATACACCAGAGATTAGTATTATTGTAGCTGATAGGTACTTAGTTTTTACATGAGGTTTTGGAGCAAACACATGGGTTATGGATATCGTAGTCGTACCGATTTAAATAGTACACATTCGTTTCATAAACATCACCCAACACTTCAATTCAGACAAAACTTGAACGATAATGTTTAGGATTGCCATCCCTAAAATTGACGTAGGTATCACCAAAAAGAGATTGATAAGCTTGCTATCTGAATTCTGCGTCGAATATTGCGGAGAACAACAGTGACTAGTGTTGTTCTGATAAGTAGGTACCTATAGCCGACATGCGAATCCAATCCTCGGTAGATAAACATAAGGTCACATGTTCACATGACTCCCGGATCCTGATCCGCGCGTGTGTACTGGCTGATAAGGACTTGAGCTACTAATAGTGATGTGATTTAACTCTCACTCGATTATTCTGTGCTACACGGTTACCGTAACATAGGGCTGTGCAGATGACGCACTCACTACTTTGTCATAATGTAACTGCTGGTTCTGAAGATTTAATTATCTTTAAATTGTATATATGCATACTAGGCAGATCTTAGTACAATAATATGCACAGTAATCTAGTTAGTTATAATCAAGTCATTATAACTAACTAGATTATGTTTGACATCGCCATGTAGTATAATGTAATACAATACCACTATTAAGCAGCTCGGATTCGAAATGATTTCGATTCGCTATTATAGATAATAGTATATCGACTATTCTCGTAGTAAATAAACCAATGTTTAAAGAGTTAGAATAAAATTACAAAACGAAAGAAAGCCTTTAAAGCCATATTTCTCCTGCTATATCATAATCTCTCTCTTTTTATTTACTTTCATCCATGGCTTAGAGCAATTGAGCAACCCTAGTGAGGTGCAAGTTGAAGCGCGAGTGTTCCCCGAATCGTCACGTGACCCCGGGCGGCGGCAGCAGCGCGGGCGCAGTCGGCACGTAGCGTCGCGTTATTGTAATGCGTTGCGCAACATACCCCACCCTCTCCCCGCACACTCTACCTCCTCCCAATGGCCACCACTGCCCTCAGCTCGGGGTATTAATTTCAATGAACTCTAACTGTGACTTATTGGTTGAAATAAAGCACAAGCTTTTAAAGGTATGTGAACTACTGAGCTTTATAGCAGTCGCTTTGAAACTACCTATATCGAAGGAATGTAGCCAATCTTTTATGTATTATTGGCTGGTTGTGTAAGTTCCTTTATAGGAATACAATTTTAAATTCCAGCTTGAAGTACTCGCGGGATTCTAGTGTATGGAACTATTTTTGTTATTGAACGTTTGAATGAAGATTATGATTAGTAATAGACATACCTACATATTATATTAATTGCATTACTACGTAAGGCTTAATATCTTGGAACAAATCATGCGAATCATTGACTGCTAAAGAAGATAAAAATATAAAAATACCTATCTACGTACATTGATAATAATCTTATTACAGAGTGCAATAATTTATTAAGTAGTACCTAATCATGCATACTTAATTTTTATGGTAGAGCTGATGGCGGGTGGATCCAGTCGCACGTTCGTAGCAATAAATTTGACATTGACATCGCCTTTGTTATCATAGGCAGTAAGGTCAGTTTTGTAATTCGAGTGTCACTCAGAAAGGCTTCCACTTTAACCCTAGATTAATTAGAACGTGCGAGATTGCCATATTGATTTATGGCATGGTCCCAATTATTGTCGTTAAGTACTCGTTATCTGTCGTAAGTAATTAAGTGTTAAGTATAGGTATGCCACACGGACCATACATTATTATATTTAAATGAAAGTGCTCGCATATTCCTATAATAAAATTTGATCACCTTTTTCTAAGGCCTTTCCATCAACATCGTAGCCGCAGAAAATATAAAATTACCTTCAAAAATGTGTTCATTTTATTGAATCATCGAGTAAAAGAAACATCGATTTGCCGAGAATACCCTCAGGTAAATAGAAACAGTAGCTACATTATAACTACAATGCAAGCAGTACTCGCTAGTCGGTATTAATCTGTCATGTAGGAACATACACCATTTGAGTTCGTAGGTGCGTGCACGAGTGTTTACGACGCCTGCCTACGGTGTGGTACCTGCGCAATAATGACGTTCACAGTTCAACGGAAAACTATAAAATGCATACATGGACGTTTTCCAGCGAAGCGCGGGTGATGAGGAGAGGCGCGGGCCGCGGGGGGACCCGCCCCGTCGACACACTTTCTGAAGGGCTCTAAAACTCCGGCTTTTGTGGCCACCTTTATGACCATCTATTCGTAGACCTTTTGATTTATTTAGCTGTTAAGACTAGCGTTTGAAGACAAAATAGTTGGCTTTTTAAGAGCTGTGTTAGAAATCGTCGTAATTACTATCAAGCTTGTTTCTTTTCATATGCTTTCCGTTCGATTATATCCTTTTCATAGAGAGCTGTAGTGCTAGCCGAGGCTGATGGCAATAGACACAAACAGCACAATGTCGCAGTAACACTCTCATAAGTGCGAACATTGCCAAACCAGGGATTTTCCATTTGGCTGCAGTCCATCCTAATCGCTTGCGGTACGGTGAACACCAGCATGCCAGCGAGGATACATTACACTCGGCTATATTGACACGCGTTATAAACTTATAAGAAACCGACCCTGTACAGTTATCGACCACACTCACCACAAGGATAATCTTCGCTCGTTTGGTAGACGTTTTAAAATTACTTATTAAATGACCAGCAAACTTTATGTTCACAGCCAACCGTTGATGATACAGAAAAGTATGTGACTTTTCTTCGTTGCCATTCGACGGATTTTCTTTTTAAGGTTCAAATGTGAGGAGGTTGTAAAAGCCATGTTAGTTCTGCAAACTAGGTCGCTGCTACGGACGCTACGAATCAATCCTTTTCACAGAAATCCCTCATATACACACACCCACATGTACCCACACATACATATAATTTCTGCATACCTAATTATTGTTAGTGGTTTAGTTTTCATGTTGTATTTTATTCACTCGCACGAATTTGGTTCACGAAGTGCTCACCCACTTAGAGTAAACAATTGATACCTACACTGTTTAGGCATGCGGTACATTTGTGGAAGGCTGGTATCGGGGAGCCTACCAGGCGACAAAGATAATCTACGTTCGGAGCGATACCCCAATTCGTAATCTTTATCTGGAAGTAAAAATGTTATCTGCATATAGGTAAGTACTTCAGTTTTGGGTGTGTCGTCGTCCACTGAACCACAAATACAGTTGATTGATGCTGTAGTAATTCTTCATCTTCTTGACTTTCAGTGTATTGAAAATCATTTGAAAATTTGTTGTATCCTACTAGAGGAAAAAGGAGGACTGTAAACTACTGGCAAATACTGACTGTATTTGCTAGATGTTTTTGTTTAGATACTATTTTTCAGATCCCATGTGAATGCGCGTGATCTCATTTATCTAGTTGATTAATAAACTGAACTATGTTTATTATAACTAAGTTTATTATTAGTATTTTGTTTACTTATATTATGTATTTTTATTTTTTTATATTCTTTGTTTTCTGTGCGTGTAATTGCCATATAAATGTTTTTTCTTTCTTTCTTTCTTTCTTTCTATGGATTATACGAGTTATAGCTATAAATGTCTATTTATTTAGTTTTGTATCAGTAATTTAGTTAATCCGAACCCTTGATCAGTAAGCAAAATGTCTTCATTTGTCTTTGATGAAATTTAACTGACTACGGGCTACGGTTGTATTATAGGTTTTCACATTCAACATACTGACGTAAGTGTTGTCGGTATCTTCAAATAATAAATTTATA